AATCCAGAGTCAAAAACACAGCAGGGTACAAAGAATAGAATTATTCCTCAACTTATATGAATTTTCCACCATGGATATCCAATATTTCATTGTAACTAGCTTTTTATAATAGCGTCCTTGACTCCCGTAATTGCTCTTAAATGGAGTACAATAAAAAAACTCTTTGAATTTTAGCTAAATTTACATTAGCATTTGAGGACTGGCTCTCTTGTGGGCATTCTGTCTGTGGAACTCAGAATCTAGGGCAATCCTGATAAAAATTTCTTACTTTCCCATAGTCTCTTATGAGCTAAGAAAGTCATTCATTCTCAACTCAGGAAATAAGTTCCTCCCGGGAGTTTTTGGGAACATGAGAAGCATTTCTGATTGCCCCAGTGGCTGGGGAGCACTCTTTGATCCCATGTGGCTGGGATCCTAAGTCTTTCTAGCACAACAAACTAATGTCACTGGACCCTGTCGAGAAACAGTGAGCTAGGTGGGGCAAGTGAGTGTATGTATTTTTGTTTCAGAGCTGGAAAAGAGGAAAATTAGAGAAATTTGACCTTCTGGATCCAAAATTCTGAAAACAAGCCTGGAATGATGGTGATCTATACTAGATATAAAAAAAAAAAAAAGGGGAGAAAAATGCAAATTCCACTCATAGTGCTGTGTGACAATCTTTTGAATTGTTTTCTTATAAATTGTATTTAGAGGGCGGTGCCTGTAGCTCAAAGGAGTAAGGCACCGGCCCCTTATGCTGGAGGTGGCGGGTTCAAGCCCAGCCCTGGCCAAAAACTGCAAAAAAAAAATTATATTTAGAAATCATTTTAGATTCACAGGAAGTTGCAAATTCAGAGCAGTTACAGATACATTTCGTCAAGTTTTTCCGGTTGGTTTCAACTGACGTAACTATAGTATAATCGGAAGCAGGAAACTGGTATTGGCACACGTGTGTGTATCGTTCTGTAAATGGCTGTCACCACCACCGCCCTGGAGAGGCAGAGGTATCCCATCACAAAGGTCTTCCTCACACCCCTGTGCCTGCGCTGTAGCTGACCCTCACAACCACTCCTCTGTTCCCCGTCTCTATACTTTGGTCATTTGAGAATGTTATCTAACGAAATCATCAGGTGTGTGACCTTTTGAGCTTGGCTCTTTTTTCATGTTGCGTGAAATAGATTCAAGTCTCTGTGAGTACCAGCAGTTGGTTCGCTGGCCCCGATAAGTAGTATTTTGTGTTATGTACACACCCCGGCTTGTCTAACCATTCACCTGTTGTAGGATATCATGGGTACTCTGAATTTGTGAATATTACAAGTAGAGTGGCTACGAACAGTGGCACACAGGTTTTTGCATGAACACGATTCTCATGTCTTTGGGACAAGTACCTGGGAGTGCAGTTGCTGGACAGTATGGTGTTTGGTTTGTAAAGAAACTGCCAGACTCCTTTCCAGGGTGCGTGTAGCATTTTACATTTCTAGATGTAGTCCGTGACAGACCGACTTTCCCTGTATCTTGGCTGCGTTTGGTATTTTCACTGTCTTTTTTTTTAATTTTAGTTGGTGTAATAGGTGTGTAGCAATAGTTCATTGTGGTCTTTGTCTTTGAGACAGAGTCTCACTCTGACGCCATTACAGCTCGCAGCAACTTCAGACTCCTGGGCTTACGCAATCCTGCTGAGTAGCTGGGACTACAGGTGTGCACCACCACGCCCAGCTAGTTTTTCTATTTTTAGTAGAATGGGGTCTCACTCTTGCTCAGGCTGGTCTCCAACTCCTGAGCTCAAGCAATGCCCTACCTTGGCTTCCCAGAGGGTTAGGATTACAGGTGTAAGTCACCATGCCTGGGCTGTGGTCTTTCTTTTCACGTCCTTAATAACAGGTGATACTGACCATCTTTTCATCGGACCTCTTTAGTAAAATAAAATGTCTTTTCATGTCTTGTGCCATTTTCTAACTGAACTGTTTTCTCATTGTTGCATTTTGAGTGCGTGTGTGTGTGTGTGTGTGTGTGTGTGTTTGATGGATTCTGGATATAAGTCCTTTGTCAGATATGTGCTTTGCAAATATTTTTTCCCATAGTTTGTAGTCTTCTCGTCTAGTGTTTTAAATTTTGATGCTATCCAGTGTATATATATTTTTAAATTTTGTAGATAATGCTCTTGGTATTCATTTTTAAAATTCCTCACCAGGCACTAGTTCCCAATTTACCCTTCCCATTTTTCTTCTAGAGTTCTATGGCTTTACATTTTACATTTAAACTCGTGATCTATTTTTGAGTTAATTTTTTTATAAAGTGTGAGTTCAGGTTCCTTTTTTTTTTTTTTTTTTTGCCTTTAAGTATTAAATTTCTCCTACACCACTGGTTGAAAAAACTATTTCATTCCATTGAATTATTTTTCACAATTATGAGCAGTCAGGTGGCCATACTCTGGCTATTTCTGGGTTGTTTATTCTGTTCCATTGATCTATGTGTCTACCCTTCCACAAATACCACACAGTCTAGATTACTGTAGCTATATTACAAATCTTTCCATCTAGAAGTCCGATTCCTCCTATTTTATTGTTTTTCTTTTCACAGTTGTTCTGCTGTACAATCTTTTGCCTTTCCATACCAATTTTAAAATAACCTTATCAATAGCTACACAAATCTTGCTGGAATTTTTATAGGAATCACATTAAACCCATCTATCAATTTGGAGAGAATTGACTCTTAGATCTTCTTTGATTTATTTTAGCAGTATTATGTAGTTTTCAGCATACAGGTCCCGTCCTTGTTTTGTTACATTTCCATCTATATATTTTTATACATATCTATTAGCCAATCTATGTTTTTCTAGGGATTGTGAATGGCACTGTGTTTTTAATTTCAGTCTCCCTGTGTTAATGGCCAGCATATGGAAAATACAATGGATTTTCACATGTTGATCTGGTACCTGTGACTCTGCTTGCTAGCAGATTCTTACAGATTGATTGGAAGTTTCTATGTAGACCATCATGTCATTTGCAGATAAAAGTAGCATTTTTTCCCCTTTTTATTTATATTATACCTTTTATTTCCTTTCTAGGCTTCTTGCATTATCTAGAACTTCCAGCACTGTGTGAAAGTCCAGTGTTGAGGGCGCACATCTTTACTTTATTCTTGGTCACAGAGAAAGCATTCGATCTTTCTCCAATATATATGACAGGGCCTGTAGGTCTTTGGTTTTGCTCTTTCTCAGTGCAGAAAGTTTCACTCTATTCCTAATTTCCTGAGGGTTTGTGTCACTATGGCTGTTAAATTTTGTCAAATGCTTTTTCAGCCTCCATTGATAGAATCATGTGACTTTTCTTCTTTAGTGTGTTAACATAGTAGATTACAGTGTTGACTTCTGAATAACACGCCACACTTGAATTCCTGCAGTAAACACTATTTGGTCTTGGTGTACATTTCCTTTTTTATACATTGCCAAATTCTATTTACTAATATTTCATGAAGGATTTCTGCTTTTATATTCATGAGAAATATTGGCCTATAGTTGTCTTTTTTTGCTGTCTTCATCTGATTTGGATATTTTTTTCTGTATTCTTCAGAATAATGGTAATGTGTCATTCATTCTACCAGACATCTACTTCAAATATATTAAAAATCCTTTGCAATAAAGCAACAAACTCAGTTGAAGATACTGATTACTTAAAAAAAGATTTTACAGCTTTTAAGCGAACGTTTCAATTAGTAAATACATAATGGAAATATTTTTTCTATCAAAAATTATCAAAACTCTGTTGAAGGTTTGAAAACTATGTTTAAGTAATTTTTTAGATAACAAGATTGACTTAGGGTATAAATTATGTTAATGTATTATATGTTGGAGAGGACTCTATGTGAAGTAGCTTGTTGATTGTCATTGTAAACTAAACATATTTTCAGTAAAGTGGTCATTTAAGGTCTGTTTTTTAGTTATAATGCAGCCAACTTTTATTTCAGAATTTGATAGGACCCATGCCTCCTGGTCCTTAATCTCAGGATTTCCCGGTTATGTGTGTATCACATAAAACCAAAGTCATTGTTATTAAACTGAGATCTTCTTTGCCATTCTTGAAGAGTTATGACTTGGGTTTATGTTTAAAGGTCATACTATTTGAATGTTTATGGTTTATTTATAATGAGTAAGATATATACATTATACACGCACATAAATAATTATACATATAATGTGTATGTAACTTAAAAAAAATCATTTCTTGCCTTAAAAAAATTCATGAGCAATATTCAAGTAGATGCCAGAAACTATCTGTCTCTTGTGAATATTTAAAACTAGTTAATAAGTGAAAAGTTAGGGAGGAGGGAGGGGGAAAGGGGGGTCATGGTATATGGCACACCTCCTGGGGGCGGGGCACAATAGTAAGAGGGACTTTACCTAATAAATGCAAATAGTGTAACCTAATTCTTTGTACCCTCAATGAACCTGAAGAAACAAATTGTAAAAAGTTAAGCTTCAGATCAAAGTTATAACTGCATGCATTGCATTCACATGAGCAAAAGGTATCCGAGGCAATTATTTTTAAGCATCTGTGGCATCAGTTGATAATGTGCAGTGTATATAACTTACCATGGATAACACTGATGTTCCTACAGTTGTATGTTTTATCGTTTGGGATTCATTGAGGGTACAGAGAATTAGGTTACACTGATTGCATTTGTTAGGTAAAGGCCCTCTTATCATCATGTCCCTCCCCAAAGAGGTGTGCTGTACCCCATGACCCCCCATCCCACTCCCTCCTTCCCTCTTGCCACTGCCTCATTCCCCTACCTCTTGCCTTGAATTGATTTGAGTTTTTCTCTTATGTGGATGTGTATTAGTTCATCTACTGCCTTCAATGAATTAGGATTAAGTACATTGGGCTCTTGCTTCTCCATTCTTGTGATACTTTACTGAGAAGAATGTGTTCCAACTCCATCCAGGTCAAACAACTATTTCATTGAATGTTTCTTAGAATAGGAATAATTCCTCTTGTTTCAACTTTTTTGTAACTTTACAGGATTCAAGCCAAAACTCGTGAGTTTAGGGAACGGCAAGCCCGAGAGCGTGACTACGCTGAAATCCAGGATTTCCATCGGACGTTTGGCTGTGATGATGAGTTGATGTATGGGGGAATTGCTTCCTATGAAGGTTCCATGGCTCTCAACGCCAGACCCCAGAGCCCAAGGGAAGGGCACTTGATGGATGCCTTGTATGCCCAAGTCAAGAAGCCACGGAATTCCAAACCCTTACCTGTAGACAGGTAGGCTCCAGGGGCAGTCACAGTATTGCTTCCAAATCAACTTTTATACGGTTTTTGGCAAGGGAGTTGATTGTTCATCAATCCTCATCTCAGAACTGGCTTTTATTAATGACTTTTAAAGAGCTGTTGTGTCTAAAAGTATTGAGTTTACACAAATCGAAACCTAATGGAAGAAGCAGCAGCGGTTTTGATAGCTTTTCTAATGATTCTGACATATTTCATCTTGTTCTTAAAATGGTCTGATACTTGAGAATCAGCCTTTAGTTTATAACTCAAAAAGCAAACTTGAAATTATGGCTCTTCTCCTTCAGCGGTATTTCCTTTTATTACTAGGAGAGCTTCTAGTTGTAGCAATTAAATAGATGGAGGATGACATGATTTATTATTCCGGTTGTGATTTAAAAGGGCCCCAGTTTTACTGTGGCATAATTTTAGATTATGAAAGAATCAGTAAATGAAAAGTACAGTATATCCTATCTTCAGATTGCTTGTTAATTGCCATAGACCACAGGTCTGAATTATGTATAATACTGTGTTTCCCCCAAAATAAGACACTGTCTTATATTTATTTTTTCTCAAGAAGACACACTGGGGCTTGTTTTCAGGGGATGTCTTACCTCCGCACCAAAATGCATGGTGTGGCTATGCAAATACGCATATCCACATATTTGCATAGCCACGCCCATTACTAGGTCTTATTATTGGGGTAAGGCTTATATCTAACAAATGCATAGAAATCCTGGTAGGGCTTATTTTTTGGGTAGGGGAAACACAGTAGTATAGTGTACAGGAGGGCAATGTTAGCTATGTTTTGCCTTTTTACTGATATATAATATTTTATATATTTCTGAAGTATATGTGAGTATTTGTTATATCCATAGAATGTGTAGCACTCAAGTCAGGATATTTGGAGTATCCCTCACCTTGAGTATTTTAATGCCTGTATATTTAGTACTTTGACTGTAAGGCTATATATTTATAGCTAGGTGTTTATGCATGGCTGTATATTATCATATATTGCTACTTACATGTTTAGTAGCTATGTATTTATTAATAGCTCTATATTACTGTATATTCATTTCAAATCTTAAATGAAGCAATTCTGAAGAGATCTTTTCTCACACCTCCATGTGTGTGGTCCAGTACTTTACAGAGTTTAGTTCACAAAGAATATAATTCTCATTTCCTTTCCTATCAGACATAAGCATGTTATTGTCATAAGCAATACGCTAATTCCATCGCATCTTAAAATGGTTTCTTACAATCATTGCTCTCTGTATGGGAGCTGGGCTTGGGATGTTATAAATATCAGGTTTCCTTGAAACAACAGCTCTCAAACTTCAGTGCTTTTGCTTTATTGTGGATCTGAATCACCCTGGGGATCGTCTTAAAACACAGATTAATTGCCTCATTCCCAAAATTTTGATTCAGTAGACTTGGGGTGGAGCCCAAGAATTTGCATTTCTTACTCGCGGGTGTGATGCTGGCACCACTGGTGCTGGGAAATTCACTTTAAGAACCTTTGCAGGACTAGAGATGTACTGGAATTATTTCATTGATAACCTTTATGTGTTATAGATTACTACATTTTGCAACTGCCCATATTTTAGTTACTTAATTCCAGCTATTTTTTTTTTTTTTTTTTGCACTTTTGGCTGGGGCCGGGCTTAAACCTGCCACCCTCAGTATATGGGGCCGGCGCCCTACTCCTTGAGCCACAGGCGCCGCCCAGTTCCAGCTATTTTTACAAATTTAATAGGTAACCATCAGGCAAAGTCAGAAGGAAGCATATTAAAAAATAGCTAGTGGGGAACCAGATCTTAAAGTGAAACTCTAATCAATTATTATTCTGTTGTTTTCTTTATTTTTTTTCCATTTTGGGTGGGTATTAGGTTTTCTTTATCGTGTTATTAAAATCTATTTGTTGACTATAGTGACTAAGTCAGTTACTACAGAAGTCCGATGGTTTATTTGCACCCTGTGGGTATAATCACCCAGAAGGTGCCCATTCTTATTAACTAACAAAGATGTGTCAGGATTCAAAGAATGAAGTTATTCTCAGTGACAGTGACGTTTTCTTTGAAAGCTTCTTACTTGGTTTCTGCCGTACTTGTGAATGCTGCTTGCAGAAGGTCAACCCACATTTGAAGGCCATGCCTGTCCCGTCGGAATTGTTTTCCTGGGAGTAAGGACATCAGAGCACTGGCACTGTCAGTTAGTAACTTTCAGAGACACTGAGAAAAATGAGCTGACATATTATTGATCATTGATGAAAGCACTCATTATTTTCAGCACCTTCCACATCTAGTTTGAAAATCTAAAAAATAGTGGATATGCTTGTAGCAGTTACTCGTGTAGCGCAGAAGTCTGCCCTGCTATGGGAGCTAGGAGTCCGCAGGGATCTGTCTCCCCAGCTCCCAAAGTCCAAATATAGTTGCTTTAAACCCCAGGCTTCAACAAGAGACTAACGTCTACAGATTTTTGACAAGATTTTCATGCTCAGAACCCTCTGTGTTTTGGGGCTCCAGCCTCCCTGCCCATAGTCTCTATTCTGCACCACATTCACACCAAGCAGAAACTCAGCTTCGTAATTATTAACAATTTCCATCAAAAGCCCACCCAGCAAATACATCGCAGAGACTTTAGTCGTTGGGATGAGTCACGCTAAGTTGTAAATAACTCAAAATCATATCGTAGACAGTGCTGTATCAAAAGCTCCTTCAAGCACAGCCTCAATTGGGTACATCACACTTTTTTTTTTTTTTTTTTTGAGACAGAGTCTTAGTCACTCTGGGTAGAGTGCCATGGCATCATAGCTCAGAGCAACCTCAAACTCTAGGGCTTTACGTGATTCTCTTTCCTCAGACTCCCTAGTTGCTGGGGCTACAGGTGCCTGCCATGATGCCCAGCTATTTTTAGAGATGGGGTCTCACTCTAGCTCTGGCTGGTCTGAACTGGTGAACTCAAGCAATCCTCCTGCCTCGGCCTCTCAGAGTGCTGGGATTACGGGCATGACCTGCTGCATCGGCCTTACATTATACTTTTGTTCATCCATACCCCAAGAGGGTGATTGGGCAAGAAGATTTCTTATGTTGCTTCCAACTCAAGAGAGACATAATTAAAAAAAAAAATTGATCATAGAAACAGTTTTTATTACCAATGCAGAGAGTAAAATGTCCATTATAAGTGATGTGATTAAGCCAGAAAAGTTGGGAATTTTTTTTTTTTTTTTTTGAGACAGAGCCTCAAGCTGTCCCCCTGGGCAGAGTGTCGTGGCATCACAGCTCACAGCAACCTCTAACTCCTGGGCTCAAGCGAGTCTCCTGCCAACGCCTCCCAAGTAGCTGGGACCACAGGCGCCCACCACAACGCCCGGCTAGGTTGCAGCCGTCATTGTTGTTTGGTGGGTCCGGGCTGGGGATTCGAACCCGCCACCTTAGGTGTACGTGGCTGGCGCCTTAGCCGGTTGAGCTATAGGCGCCGAGCCAAAAGTTGGGAATTTTTATACCTGTAAAACCCTTCTTTACCTACCAGGAATGAGCGTGAATTCGGCTTGGAAATCTTGGCATCTGCTCCACTGTGTTTTCCCGTCAGAGAAAGACCCAGGGAAGTGTGTCTCAGACTTGAGTGTAGTAGGGATTCTTTTTTTCTTAAAAGAAAAACAATGTCTTGATACTGCAGCGTGGAATTAAATTGTTTTGATTATAATGTTACTTAAATATGTATAAAAATAAAATAGGACTAAACTCCTTCTGTTGATAACCATTATACAACTATAAAACCAGGCGTCCTTACAAATTAAATACAAATGAAACGGCGAAGCCATTACATTCAAATGAACAACATTAATTTAATGTAGCCCGTAATGTTTTTTTTTTTAATCTAAATTCTTGCACAAATCATGAATATGGTGGCGGCTGCTACGTGGCAGGTTCATTTGGGTTTGTTTTCCTGGCCCACAAGCCGAGTGTGGTTTGAGTCAAGCGTCACTTTTCTGTCTTATGCGTCTGCAGTCCTTTCGTGTGTCCCTGTCCTTGGGCCTACACAACACGCAGGCACATCATTTCAGCTCTCTTCTCTCTCTCTCTTTTTTTTATAGTTCCTATAACATATTCTTTTACTTTTTTCTCCTTTTTTTTTTTAAAAAAAACAGTATTTAGAAGTGTACAAAACAATTTTTAACGTATGGGCCATAGTTGGCGGCTCCCTATTCTATGACTGTCGTAGTAGCCAGAACATACAATGAAAAATATGAGACTCTTCCCAGTGTCATAGGAAGCCTCAACTATCTAGGAATTAACCTTATAAAAAATAAACAAGACCATCTTGGAGAAAGCAAACTCTACTAAAGGAATTTTTTTTTTTTTTTAGGGCAGTGAATGTATTCTTTGTAATGCTTTAATGATGGGTACATGTCATTTTTTTTTTTAATTAATCATAGCTGTGTACATTAATACCATCATGGGGTATAGCATACTGTTTCTTTTTTTTTTCTTTTTTTTAAATTAAATCATAGCTATGTACATTAATACTATCATGGGGTACCGTGTACTATTTCTATATACAATTTGAAATACTTTCATCCAGCTGGTCAACATAGCCTTCATGTCTTTTTCTTAGTTATTATGTTAAGACATTTATATTCTACATTTAGAGAGATTCACATGTACCTTTATAAGATCAGCTCTCTTATCATTAAATCGAGGCCGTGAAAGTGACATTCCTCGAGGCCTTCATATTGATAAACTTGAAGTCAGTGAAATAACACAGTTGCAAGCTGATCTGGCAACCGTGATCTGGAAACACGAAACTTGAAACTCAGGGAATTATTTCTTGTGTGAGGAAATATACACAATGGAGAAACTTATATCAACTGACTAAATTTCACCAAAATTTGCAATTGGTATCTGATGAACTTTGCTATTCAAATTTGTGGATTTCATGGGAGCCTGAGAGTAGGCAGCCTCGACAGTTGAGAGTCGAAAGGGGTAGCCTGTGTC